CCAGGTTGCTTTTCAGGGGTGAGAAGAGCAGGATGGGGAGAGGATTATACAGGACAAGGAGTAATGGTTTTAAACTAAAGAAGAATAGATTTAGACTGGATATAAGGAAGAAATTTTTTGCCATGAGGGTTGTGAAGCGCTGGACTGGGTTGCCCAGAGAGGTAGCGGAGGCCCCATCCCTGGAAACGTTCCAGGTCAGGTTGGATGGGGCTTGGAGCAACCTGATCTGGTCAGAGATGTGGGTGTTGGGCTGGATGACCTCTAAAGGTCCCTTCCAACCCAAAGCATTCTATCATTCTATGAATTTCTTGGAATGATCCTTGGTATTGCTGGGAAATTTGCTTGTCATTAATTTTAAATGTCTAGCTAAGTAGTCTGTCATTCAAGATTCTCATTAATCAGAGGTGATTCAGCAAAGGCAGAAAACAATACACGTAGCTAATTCCTGCACGGAGCAGGATTATGCACCTCAGTGAGTGTCCCTGGATGGCTAGCAGCTTTTACAGGCCTTCCTTTGGGCTCTGGAAATACCTTCCTGCACTACAAGGAGCTGCCTTCAGCAAGTGCTTCAATAGGTGTCAGCCTCTGTGAGGCTGATTTTGCAGCTGGGAGGCCGTACCGAGCCCAGCGAGTCCCAGGATGTCACTGGAGACCGGCAGCAATTCTGTCCCTCTCAATGTCGCTTCACAGCCCTCGCTGATGCCGCTCATCAGCAGGATGAATGGGAGGCCTCCTTCCGGCATCCAGTGTCAACAGATGGGGGAGGAAAAAAGAAAACACCCCTCAAACTCAAAATGACATTTTTTTTGTGAGTCTTAGAATAATGCCAATTCCTAATGTTATGTACAACTTCAGATTTAAGATTACACGTCGGTTTTGTGTTGATTTGCACAGAAAACCAGACTGCCATTTTAAAAGCAACATCGCTATTACTTTAAAATGACATGTGGCTCTACTTCTTAATCTAAGAATCGAGATGTTGTGAAACATCGGTCAATGGCCTTGAAAGCAGGACTGTGAAAGAAAAAAAAAGACCATTAGAATTATATATTTTGGTGGAAGTGAAAATATTCACCAAGAGGGGAAAAGGAGTATGACTTCCAATGAATTTAATAGAAGTAGCAAGTTAGTAGATGATCAGTCGGGGAAAATGTTAGCGCAGGGTTACAATTTAAAGATGACAATTACGCCGCGTTGTACAGGATGAATCAGGGAACAAGAACCTACGGCCAGCTGCCATCGCAGTGCACAGTCAAATGTGGTGGGAGACGAAGACAAAACCAGCAGGTTTTGGCCCAAGGGCGATCAAAGCCATAGGCAAGCATTACCCTGATGAGTTTTGTCTTTATGCAAAGCTGCGGTGCTTGAGGGAAAACAGTTACTGATGTTTTTTTTTCTGCTGTCCAGTTTTGCGGATTCCTGGCAGGAAAGCCCCGTGAGTCACAGATGAAGGTGGTAAAGGACAAAGAGGGAGCGGGAGGCAGGGCTGCCTCTGCTTTCATTCTTGTATGGACTCCCACATTACTCCCTTCCATCAAAGTCAGAGCTTAACTAATTTTTAGATCATTAAGCCATATTTTAAAGATGAAATAAGATTAAAGTGAAAGATACTGCTTTCATTAGGGGTCCTCATCTATGCTCACTACTACTGTCTTTTAAAATTATTGGTTTATAAAGCTGGAAAAAATGACAAGGGTGGAGCTACTTCATCTTTCAAATTCTTTAATGACTATGTACTTTAGAGCCTTTATTGGATCCGCCATTTTTTTTGCTTTGGGGAGATTACAGCACACACAAAAACCACACGTATTTTGATGCTTCTTAGCTATAGTGTCACGATGAAGACATGAGATGAGACATAAAAAAACCCAAACCCAAGAAAACCCTAATGCGCAGCAAGCATATGCACAAATACTGGGACACATCTAGAGTTTTTATGTCGGCCTCTTGCCTTCCTAAATTGAAAGTCGCTTCCTTCCCAAGCAGTTTGATGAAGTAGCCAGTGTCAATCTAGGGCAAGGGCTCACAACTGCATCGCACTGTCAGTAGTCTACCACAGTCCCTTCTGGTCATTCCCAGGGTCCAAAAGCACAAGGTATATACAGTCAACAGATACATTCTTTGAATCATTCAGTAGAATTAACAGCCTGTGTGAGCAACGATAACTGCAATCGTAAAGATGCAAATTATCTCTAGAAGGTGTTTCACCTTTTTGTTTTTAATACACTATTAAGTGTGGAACTAGAAGAGGAGCAGAAATAGGACAGTAGGGAAACAGTATATAACACAAATGAATTGAGAGTTCCTTTGTGGGGAAAGGGCTATGACATTTACCAAAAAAGTAACTTAATGGGAATTGAAGCCTTGCTCCATGTGTGTGCATACACACATGGAAACCTGCAAGACTGATTTTCCAGATACCAAAGAAGTCCCACCTGTATGTGAAGTTAAGAGCTTTTATTTCTGAATGTGAGGTGAGACTAGGAGAAAAGTAATGGAGAAGACTCCTGCAGGGTCTTAACATACATTCAAGGGTCAGTAATTCCTAGATTTATAACTGTTGTATCACTTCCCATTCTTCTGGAATGTGAAATAAATCCCAAACATGCCTCCGAATCATCAGGTGGGTGCTTCAGATGCTCCAAAACAACTCAGAGCCATCAGAAGAAAGCACTGACAGCAGTCCAAGTACTGTGACAGTCTTTCACAAAACTGTCACCCACAAATACAGAAACTAGAAACTTCTTCCTCCCTTATACTTTTTGTTACTGACTTTACCATATTACATCATCATTCCTAGTATAATTATTGAAAACAAGTGATAACAGTTTGTGGCAAAGCCAGTTTATTAGGTTTCTGGAATTGTGCCTTGCCCTCCCCCCAACACATACAAAATAACCCAACTTTACAATTTGGTAAAGTGAAAATACATATATAAAGTATTCAGTACTTTTGACATCACTTTTGTGGGCAGAACATCACCACTGAAAGCCAGGAAGCGTACTGAGTCCTGTGTTAATGACCACACTACCTTTATGGCAGAACCATTAAAACATGCTTTGTGCTGAAGACGAAATTACACACTTAAACATTGTTACCACACCATTTTAATGACATGAGGGCCCTTATTTACAGGTTGTGAATAAGTCAAATAAAGCTTAACAGATTTGCAGATGTCTGATATCAAATTTAACGGTAACATTGTAGCTACATAATTCCCTTAGCTCAACCCCCAACCTGACTGACTGACTTTGGAATTCTTCATTCTGTTTTTTTTTTTTTTAAATTAAAAAAACCACAAAACCAAAACCCATTTGCTGACATACTTATTATACAAACAGTTAAGATGGATCCTTCTGAGAAAAAGGATTAAGGACATGAGTGAAAAACAAATTGTCCAAGAGGACTGTAAACCATATTTATTTACAATAGTATACACATAAATTTAAGATCAATCCTTTTCTTAAAAAATTAAGGACACTAGCATTAAAAAGCTGATTGTTTCTGAAAGGACTGTAAACCAAATTCTAGTCATGTAAGATTCAGAGTGAATACAAAAGTTCCCTTTTACAAATGTTTCCTAAACAAAATTACTGTCACAGCTGTAGCGGCTTTATACAGGAAAAAAATACTACCTTTTGTTTAGATTCTTTTTAAACATCTTAATCATATTAGACGAAATTGAATGCTCTTTCTAAATCTAGGAAAGTGTCAATGCATTTTTACTTTGTCAGTGTAACTTGCAGTAAAATTACATCTTATTAATTGTAATAGTTTAAATAATAATAGTTATGTCCTTTCAATAATTTGTTTCTAATGTGATCACTAGGGCAGCAGCTTCTGAACTGGCCCTTCCATTTAGTTTCCAGTCAGCATCACACACTACACACTGCAAATAAAAAATCTCCGGTTTTACTTCAATTCCTTTAAAAACGAAGTCACAAAACATTGTCTGACATGGCATATGAATGAAGTCATAGATTGTATTCTATGGCTTACATTTCGCTTTATGCAATTATGTCCAACCTAGCACCGTTTTTATTATGAAACTTGACCTTCAGACAGAACTGAAATAACATGGTTGCAATTATGAGGACACAGAAGATGGTTCTCGAAGAGTAATTTCCCTCATCTGACCCACCACTAACTCACACTAGTAATGCCAAGGATGCCCAACATACAGCCACGACATTACACAAGCAGGTTTTAGCTCAAAAATTTGTAACAAATGATGTGTTTTGCAGATTTTCTCCCTATTTCAAGATCTAATTTATTTTGTATTCAGAAGTATTTTAAGGAAGTTCCATATTCCTAACATTTTGTCCTAAGCATTTCCATCCCTATCAAGTTGGTTCTAAAAGGCTATTTCAAGATATTTGAAAAGCATTCATCACCACTAAAACCCTCTGAAACTCCTATCTTTGAAAACCAGTATGCTTTCGCCAGCTTCACTCAATCTTTTATTTACTTAAGTGTTTTTACTTACCCTGGGACACTCAACTGAAATACAGCATCTTTAGAAGTAAGTCCTCCTTGATTTTTTAGTAAAGTCAGAGAAATTACAGACAGTTATAGTCCCACATTTACCCCAAATCCTGTGCTACAGTACTTTCCATAAGAAGGAATGCATAGTTTAGTTTTACATGCTAATTATGAAAAATTAATGAAGTTTTAAGTATCAAATAATTGTCTAGAGGTAGGGACAAGTTTGTCAATTCTCTTACCATTGCCATGAACAAACAAAGTTTACAGTGGAATAACAGGCCACAAGCTAGCAGTCCGCATTACATTGACAGCCCAAACTTTATCTGACAGTCCTGGTCTTTGCTTTTTAAAAGAAAAAAAGTACTCGCTTAGCAATTTGCTAGCACTCACCAAATATTCCTTCATATATCAAAAATCTCCCCACTTGCTGACCCAAAAATCAAGCTATCCGGCTGTCACAAAACACCTTTTCTCCTACATTATTCCAATGGAAGTAGCAACCAAAAATGTTAGTAAACTGGCTTACTATTTATAACCTTACCACAAGTGATGAAAACAATCTCAGGCAGCAAGAGCTCAAGTAGAATTGCTTTGTCAAAGCCTCACTTGAAAGTTTACTTTCCTGTATATTTATATAGTGAAACTTCAGTAATTCAGAAAGTACAATTACAAAGTGCAAGAACATGAGATGGGCACGTCTACACCAGAAAAAAAAAAACCACCCCACATTAAAGTGCCAAAGAGATTCGCTATAATTGCTACCAAAACCTGGAACTTTGCCAAGATCATAATTTTGAAGCATTTGCAAACAAGACAAGGTGACAGCTGATAATAGTATGATTTAACACCAGCAGGTCATGGCAGATTTTGGTTCAGGCTTTATATGTATTTCATCACGATCTGGGGGTTGACTAAGCATTAATGGCTTGTGACTTTTAAGCTTGTGAGCCAGTGTCATAAATATGGCCTCCACATGGTCATTGTCATTGGGGTTTTTGGCAGAGGTTTCAAACAACGGCATACTGTGAGTATCAGCAAACTTCTGGGCCAAGTCCGTAGGTACCTGAATAGCACTCCTCAGGTCACATTTATTTCCAACAAGAATCCGTGGTATATCATTGGCAAGAAGGTGTTGTTTGCATTCCTCTATCCATGACGGCAGACTGTGAAAACTGGCAATGTTTGTCATATCATACACAAACACAACAGCATGTACATTCCTGTAGTAGTGCTGCACCATGCTCTTTCTGAAGCGCTCCTGGCCTGCTGTATCCCATAGCTGGATCTGAAAAGGGGAAGACCATGAGAGAAAAAAATGTTTCATTACTTATGTTGGAAAACAATACAAATCACCTGTAGCTAGGAAAATCACACGATCACAGAAATCCACTCTTCTGAATTAATCATACTGAAAAGTTTGTGCTGAAGAACACTGTTGCTTTTACACAATTTCAGAAACTTTCGCTTTCAACGCTGCTCGCAATCGAAGCCAGGAAGAAATGGTGATGCAACTTGATCACAAACACGAATTTCTGAAAGTTTATTGTATTTTGCAAGATTTTTTACAAAAACAAATCCTGAATTCTTGGCAATAGCACTTTATTTGAAGAAAACAACATGTATTTCACAGCACAACTCTCGGCTGACATGATTTTTTTATTGCCAAAAATAACATCATCTTCCCCAAAGTTTTGTTCTTAGCATGAAGTTAACTGCCTATTGTGGTACTATATCAAAGCAGGAAGAAATCAAACCATGCATGAATAACACCACCACCACCAAAAACAGGACAAAGAAATCTTTCTCTGCAGCGTATCTATTGGAATCAAACCCTCCGGTGACTAACCTCTAACTTAAGCTTATTTAATGCTTAAGCTAGGACCATACTGTGGTTTGTAGTATCAAAGCATGCAGAAAAGGAAAAAAAATTTTAAAAAAGCATAAATCTTCTGTTAGCTTAACATGCTACTATTGTTTCCAGGTACACTTCATTCTATCCCTAACAGACTGAACACATTTGTTTGAAGCCAAGCCAGTGTAACAGACAAAAAAACATTCAGAAGTAGTAAAATCCTTTCAAACTTCTCTGGTCCAGATTAAAAACAAAACAAGCCTTGAAGCACAAGCAGGTGCAAGCAAGAACTAATAAAAATTTTAAAATGCATCAATCATCCCGGTATAATGGCAGCTTAGAGTCCTCCGAGGTGTAAAGCATGCTACAGAATTGTGCACTTACTGGACGCAATGATATTTCAACAAACTTGCTCTGCAGGAGATGTGGGACTGCAATCTACAGCAGTCAGAGCCAGTTCACCTACAAAGCTAGGTCAACTGCACACTGTAAGAGCCACACACTAGATAATTTCTACCACACACACCTTAGTAATGGTGTTAACACTGAAAGACAACATTCGATTTCTTGGGCCAAAGCTGAGTCCTAGCTTCCTGTCTGTCCCGTGCAGCTGACCCCTGATGCAGTCTGATTAGTACTTCAGCTTTTATCTTTTGAGCAGGAAATGTCAGAAAGAAATGTTTCCTCCCTGGGAAAGAAAGGAGAGTTTTTCTTCAGACTCAGAATTCAAAGAATATTAAATGTTCTGTAAACAATGAAGGTAAATTTAAAATTCAATCTTGTACAGCTGGTATCTTCCCTTGATGCAATTGTTCTCCCATTACCATAGTTCTGCATTCCTTTGATCCAAATGTTTCAGTAAACTTATTTAGAAATTGCCAGTGTCTTGAAAGGTGCCTTGTTTACCATTTTTACCAGTGACTTTGATATTAAAAAAAAGGAAACCCGACTGCCAGGGAAATTTGCTGATGGCAAGAAGCTAAGATGCATCACTGAGACAGGAAGACTACAATATCAAATGGATTTTTTTTTTTTTTTTTTTTTTAAAGCTGGAATGGTAGAAATAGGGTGAAATGGAATAGAAGCAGATGCAAGGTCTTGATACAGGGACTAATAATACAGACTCTTCCTAAAACTGCAGGATTAATCAGTTCGGAAATTATTAAAACAGATGACGATCCAGATACATGAGTCAATCACGGGATGTTATAAATCATTAGTGTGATAGAGTGAAGGAAAAAAGAGTAAGTGATCAGAACAGCTTGGCTTCTGTAGTCTAGGCCAGTTAGCTGCAGCTTCTGATCCCCAGACTTATAAAGATCCATGTGCTGCTTCTAAAAGGGTCATTAAGATTATTAAGAAAAGCAAGGCAAGTCACCCTGGCCTCTGATCACAGAAAACGGTAGTCAGGTGCAATCCATCTCATTTTAGATCAAATACCCGCTTTTTGCCAATGGTATTATGCTCTAAACACAATTGACTGCATCTCCATGGTCTGTTAAGGAAGGCTAGACAATCAGATTAAATATAGGCACCTAAGTTTGGGTAAGAATCATTCACCTACCCAGATGAGAGATGCTTCTAGTTCTACATACTTATAAAACATTATAAGGTCAGGAGACTCATGGAAAATTTTCATTAATTTGGAATTTGACAAATAAAAGAGAGAAGAAAGAAGCACAGACTGAAGTAATCCTTATGTTCAGACAACTTAACGTTAAGGAATCACTATAGATAATCTTGGAAAATGCTATACCAAATTAAATTAAAGAGGGACCTCATTTTCACAGGCAGCTGTGAGCTTACACTTCTCTCCCCACCTCATTCACAGAACAGAAATCAGTCATGCTTCAGTCAAGCACAGACCTGCAAGCGTATTGCCAACGTTGGGTAGAGAAGGGGAAATTAAATTAAAGGTTTACATATCTTCCAAGTCAAGCTTAAACTACAGTTTCTCCTGAATTTTATTCACATGCAGATTTCAAGCTTGAAGGGTATTAACTCAAATTAAAAATGGTAATAATCTTGGCATGTACTCATTTGCACTGAGCGGCAAATCCTTCCCCCAGATTGAAAATTTCACACTTTAGAAGTTTCTTTTTCCCTCTTACCAGTGAACTTGAGGAGACCATTCCATTTTTGCCCCCCCAAAATATGTGCTCTAGTGAAAAACAACACTGAAAATGTTCACATTAACAGATGTGCGTTGATGAATTAACATCAAGATTACTGTTTCATTATTAGTTCAATACCATCTGTCTTCAGGGGAGCACATTTTTTATAACAGCCCTTTTAAACGTGTGATTTGAAAGTTTGGTTTAACAGCATAATTCAGTTAATAAAACTGTGGACAGAATCACTTTGTCACACTCCCTAGGAAAGACAAATGGTACTTAAATATATTGACTCAACCATCACCTCCCACCTTCCGACTCGTTTTTGTGGATCTAGAAAGGCTGTTTTCTAAACAAGGACTCCCTTAGCATGCGTGGTTTATAACATGCTGGTAAAAACATAACTGGCCTTTAATAAAGATAAATTGGTAAACTATGTCTCCTTTTACAAGATGTGGGGAAAAAAACTTGAAGAGCTCAAAGGTATAGAACATGATGTTTGGACTTTCTTCTTTGAATTTCATTTGCATCCTTTGCTCTTTTAATGTAGGTCAGTTAAGAGTGACGACATTGGTTTTTTCGATTCTCAATGCTTAGATCAATTTAGGAAGAGGAAAATTTAGAACACAAAAAATTCATTTGTTGAAAACTTTAATTTATTCACCACATCTAGGCATCGGTGTTTCATATGAAGCTGTCAGCCTACTGCACAAGCCACAAAGGAATACACTGGTCCCTATGTCTTGGAATTCTACACAATTCTGTGTGGGAGACCCCCAGCGAGAAGAACTGTGCTTGTGTTCCTGCCAGTGACACAGCGTTTTTCCAGCTGCGAGGGAAACGCTCAGTACTGCAGCAGCACAAGAATGACCATCCAGCTGGCTGGGGGAAGGGAGAAGAGAAAAAGGGAAGACACTACTTCATAATCTCCTTCCAGGCAAGAGGAAAAATTCCTCTGCTCAGCAAGCCCTTCAGGGCACAGCCAGAACAGCAGTAATTTGGTTCATCTGAGCTTCTCTCTTTCCTGGTTCAACAGGCATTGCTGGAGCTCACTGCTACAAGCAAGAAAGGTGAAGATGAGCGAGAGGAGGTGGCAAGAACCAAAAATTGGTGCATACTTGATGACACACAGCATCCCCCTAAGAGCTAGAGTCCTGGCCATAATGATGAAGTTTATTCCTTTTGAAGCTGAAAAAGAACTTCCCGGAAAACAATGTGTCTCAAGAGAGCCTCCTTCAGTTCTCTGCCTCCCTCAACCACAACTTGTATATTCTCAGGAACGCAGAAAAACAACCTACCACAACATATATAACAAAACGGCACAATGTGAAGCATCTCAGAACTGTGGATTAGGCTATATTCTTCTTCACTTCTCTCCAACAAAGGCCAAGCATAATCCAGAGATGGTGAAAATGCCACTCAATAAGATGGTGCTGACAAGAAGATATCCCCCAGGAGGTTCCCTTCTCTGTCATGGACAGCAACAGACCACGGAATACAGAATCTCAGCTATCAGCCAAAGAAGTGCTATTCAGTGGTTTTACAAAGAAAGAGAGTAACACAGACTCTTACTCATTTTTCTTTTTTAATTAAAAAGAAGGATATGCGGTGAAAAAAACACAAGAGAAGGAAAGCAAATGTATTTATATGCCCTCGGCAATTTCTTTAATTGGTAAGTAAGCAAGAAAAAACTATAGCTTTCAGCTACATGACTGTAAGCTGTAATTACAAAGTCTGGTGATAATAAATGCAAAAGTACAATTCCAAGACTACTGTTACTCCCTTTTTCTACACATTGTTAAACTTTTCTCATAGAAACAAACTGCAGTACAGAAGTAGAAGGGGGTTCTGTTTAAAACTACGTTACTCCTAGTAAACAAACTCCCATCTGTAAGCAGCTAGTAGTCTAGTCTGCAAATCACTGTTAGAATCACCGCTACCATTTATATATCTACAGGGCACTCTAGGTATATTTAACATAGTTCTAAAATTTGCTTTACAGTGCAAAGAAGGCAAAAGAGCATTTTCTTCCTCCCAACCAATTTTTCACTAAATTTAGTTTTGCAAGACTAAGCTTTAGCTAAACCTATCATCAAGAGTAAAAAACAGTCAAACATGAGCTAGGTATCCAACCTGTCACTGTCCAGTTCTGTACCACATTTGCCTAAACATGCAGAATCCTAAAAAAAAAAAAAAAAATTAAAAGCTGTAACACATGGCTATCACTGATGCAGCAGCTCACTCCTGAGCAACGTTCAGTTTCTTAACGGGACATTTTTAAAGCAAAATGCTCACAACAGTGGCATCTGCATAGCTTTGTGGACTTGAAGGTTAAGCCAATTAAGTGTGATCTTTGATAAACACATGAAGCAGAATTTCTGGGAGGCAACAAGCTGCTGATACCAGGCACAGCCAACATGAAAATATCAGTAAGTAGGAGATCTACCTAGAAGTCCATTTTAAGGAGGAAATTACTGATTAACACCTGCCAAAAGCTGCGCAAAGGTTTGGCCTATGGTAGGAATTTTCCATCATCATAGAAAACCTACCCAGTAATTACATTTCCAACAGGAGCAAGGCAAAATAGTTTTAAACCAAAAGTTGCAGAGCAGATACGGCCGAGGCTGCCGGCTACGTGACACAACGGCGTTGAACTCCTGGGGTACGGGAAGGTGACGGGAGAGGCTCAGGAGCCCACCGTGCAGCACCACACT